ACGTTATGACAAAAACTAAAAGTTCATATAGAGGTGTATTATTATGTATGTAAATATATACATTATTGATATTCAGATGTCTGAGTTGGTGAATCAGCACCTTTACTCTATTTTATCTGTGGACAGTTTTAAGTCACACTAAATACGGGGCTTTACGGGGCTTTATAATATGATGGTTCTGATGTCTTTGTATCTGCCTGTGTTTATCAAATTTCGCTGTATTTTTAGGATACTGAGAGTTGGATTATTGTGACTGTCAATTGTATTGAACAGTTTCAGAGCAGGATCTTTAATGTATTTTTCAACTGAATCCACTCTCAGATCTCTGTGTATATCAGCTCCTCTTACATACCATGGGGCGTTACCAGTTTTCTTAAGGCAATATTTTGCCCTCTTTGAAGAATTTTTAAAGTTGAGCTTGGCGCTTGGCAAAACGATATACTGCCATAGAGTAGTCCTGGTTTAATAATTTGCTTAAATATGCTAACTCTATTCTTTATGTTCAGCTTTTTGCTGCTGATGAGCGGGTGAAGGGAGTGTAATATTCGGGCAGCTTGAGCACGTTTGGACTTGAAATGTGCTTTCCAGGAGTGCTTGTTATCAAAGGTTATGCCTAGATATTTGAGAGTATCGGCCCATTCTTCGGCGCTTCCTGGTAATAAAAATTGCCCGAGTCTTTTCTGCGTTCAGTTTTATTTTCCACTTTTTAAAATACTGAACAAGCACGTCAATGTGACCCTGTATGGCATTGGAGACATTGCAGGCTATTTTGTCTGAGTACACAATACAAGTGTCGTCAGCATAGAGCGATAGCATAGAAGGCTCGAGTAAATATATACATATGCACATCAATATTCATGTATTTTATAGCTCTCATGTTAATGTTTTTTTTTTCTTTTGAAACAGGTGTTTACATCTATTGAAGTTGATAGATAATTTCTGTTTTCTATCTTTAATTATGTAATCGACGAGGCTCTACATAAAATTTTCATATGAAAAGTATGCTAATTAAGCGTATTTAATATGTAAGAATTTCAAACTTTGATTTATGTATGAATTTAATTTATGTACATAGATAACATATGAATCTGCTGGATGCATCTCCCAGATTAACTGGTTTCACTGTACTCAAGATTTGTTGGTATTAAATTTTTTTATTAAATTTCTCCTTTGTTTTATTTTTTCTTAACGAAGTGCTTTATATTTTCAAAACTATCTTATCGATTAAAGCTTTTGATTAATTTGTAGAGAGTCAAGTTGTAGATTTGAAGTAAAAAATTTTTTATTTCAATATAACTAATTTAAAAATAAGTGGATTTACTTAATAAGTCATGAACTTAATAAAAAAAAAAAAACAAAAAAAAGTCATTAAAATAAATAAAATGAATTAAAAATAAAATGAGAAGATTAAGATTAAGTTAACTAAGTAAAACTAGAATCACATTAGGTTAATGCGGATTATGTTAAAATGAACAAAGAAAACCATATCTGTACCTTGCAGAATTCTTATCAGATTATCATTATTAGAATGCAATAGAATAGAATAGTTTAGAATATAAAATAAAGTAGAAAGTTTTGTTATATATTTTGATGGTTCAAAATATTTGACTATCGTTGTTCGTTGTTAAAAAGTGAACCTAGTAATTATTTTAAATAAATTTTTTAATAAATTGCTTTTTTTTTTGACTATTTATTACTGATTTATTAAGTTTTATTTTTATATGCGATTAACTAATATGTAAATTCAAGTATGCAAACGACGGGGTTAATAGTTGAACTATGAATTTTTATCTAGCCTTTCAAGTATGTCTATGGTGTAGAGTTAATTAATGTTAGTAGCCTATACTGCCACAATATTTTGCAAATTTGAAATAATAGAAAATATATTTTAATATATATTTTAAATAAACATAAAATCATTTATGTTATCATTTAAAATCGATTAAAACACGACCACCAGCTGAGTTTATTATTCATTATTCATTGATTCATTGATTTTTTTTTCTCTTCTGTTATTAGATGTGGAAATGCAATAGCATACGATATGGTCAAGATGTGTGCTAGATTTATTGTTAAGTTTGAAATAAAGTTATAAATTATCTCATTTAATTATCAGTTTATTCTCTTATAACTTATATTTACTTAAATACAAAGTTCAACCTTCAAGAAGTGAAAGAGACATTACTTAAAGTATCAAAAAACAGCAAAATATTAGGCAAATACGCTCAAAATAAGATAGGAAATAGCTGCGATAAGTATTTTTACAAAACCTGTCCTGTCACACTACTTGGACAGTCGGTGCATATTTTGTAAACTAGGAGTTATTCTATTTTATAGATGTTGGTTTATTTTAAAAATCACACAATTTTTACACTTCTTATATATTCATAAAGAATACAGATAGCACAAAACCCGGCTTTAAGAAGACTGTTTAAGATTCCATGGTATATTAGATCAACAGACATACATAGAGATCTTAGGATTGACTCAGTGAAAAAATATGTCAGTGACAGAGATCTAAAATTATTCACTAAAGTTGATACGTTAGTTAACCCCACCCTAACAGTCCTCAAGTTCACTTCTGGACTCTCAGGAAGATATGCTGACTTAAGGTCCGTCATCAACTAAAAGACAAATAAATGATATAATTTCTTTGCCTAGTTAAAGCCTAGTGTGGGGTAGAGATAAGCCCCCCAGCCAGTATAGAGTAAAAGTGCGTAATAGCACTAACTCAAGAAGAAGAATTAAGAATCAAGATAAAGGAATGTTTGAATGAATTTTACGATTTTGACAGCTATTATGAAAATTTCCTGGTTAACTAGATTTTTTCCTTCTATATTTTTATTTTATTTTATTTATGTATATTTCTACTTGTTTTGCTTAAACTTTAAACTTTTTCAAATTTTTTCATTTCACTTTTTTTTTTTGCTTTAGACACGAGCACATCATAAGTATTAACGTCACAGTCAGTTTGTAGGTTGGCTGAATATTGTAATTTAAATACTAATGACGTTTTAATTTTACATTAATTGTTGTGACATGCTGACATACTATATATATACAACAAATTCAATTGAAATTTATTGATTTTATTGCATATTTAACATTTTCGGTAAAAAAATATTGTCGTAATAATTACGTTAAGTACATAAAATTTTAGTTTTGTTGGCTTTGAAATATAAAAGGAAATGTCATTTTGTTGGTGTGCTGTCAGTAAATAACTGAAGGGGCAATCATATGACATTTACCCACTTTTAAAGAAAGTTTTCAAAAAGTGAGAACAAACTACTTTTAACCTTAATGTAGGTATTTTAATTTCCTTTCTCATTGTTATTAATAGCTGAAGACATTGACATGGCGACTAACACAAATTGATATAATCTATTCTGAGGATATTTGAATGAATGTATGAATGTAAAGGTAGTCTTCACTAATTGAATATAATTGTTTGTTGTTTTTATATATATAATTTAATTGCATTAAACATTATAGAAGCTTGTTTAATTTTTTTCATTATTTATATACAATTAATATATATAAATATAGTATATTATATATAAATAATAATATATAAATACAATCAAACTTCTTTGACTCAAAGTATCATTCTGAAAAGAAAATGTTCAACTTATGAAGATTTCGAATTAGAGATTTTTTTTATTATTTTTGAAAGAAACTAGAATCACATTATAAGATGTTTATTTATTTATTTGAAATTAAACACAGCACAGAAGTTAGAGTGAAATAAAATATTCAGAAATTAGGATTCGGGATTTTAAAAATTTTTTTCTTATTTTCAGTAAATACAGATTCTAATTTATTCCAAGCCTTATAGTGATCATCAGTTGTAATATCATTCATTTCCAAATAAAAATTCAGAATTTTGAATGAATCTTCTACTTCAGTTTTGGAAGACTGATGAACAATTTCATACACCAAACCCTCTTCATCACTTTCCGTTGCGTTTAGAATCGGATCCACTAATTTAGAGTGGATCCGCTATAATCCTCAATAATATCGTCATCTGTAGGAAAGCTTGATGTACAAATTTTATTGTCAAGCAAGTTATTTTATTTACTTTAAATCACGCTTAATAATTCTGTTCTATCAATTTACTGTCTTCATTAATGTTATTCAAGAATGACAGAAACTGGCATTTGCACAAAGAAGCAATATAAGAAAGAAAAAATTGAACAAGGAACTTTCCCTAATACCAAAATGGATTCATACTAAAAACAAAAATTCGACTTATAGAATGCATTTTCTCACATTCCTATTGGTACGTGACAAAATTTTTATTCAAGTTATACAGAAATTAGAGTTATAGACGTTCGAGTTATGGAAGTTTGGTTGTATATACAAATTATATACATATAAATAATTATTATAAACTGATGTCCCTAATAAATTTAAATATCTTATTTTAAATTAAAATTATAACTTAATGATTAGTGCTTATGAAACAAATCAAATAAGCAATAGCATAAAAATTCATATAAAAAATAGTTTCTGTATAAAATGCAAACAAATACGAGTATCAAAAGAAAAATTTGATTTATTTTTTTTTAAAATGTCATTATTTTTAAAATGACATTTTTATATTTGTTCATTGCCTCCCATCAACTTTTAATAATTCGCTCATATTTCTGCCTTCTGCGTATTCAGTAGGAAAATAACCTTTCACTGACCACAGTTGATCCTATAAAACGTTTTAAAGTTAAAAATAAAACCTTTTTTTTCAAGACTTCTTTGCCGGGTATTTAATAATAGAAAAAGTAAAATAACTTTCAACCTTTAGTAAGAAAATAATTTTCCTTGCTGAACCCGGCATACCTCTCAAATTTATTGCTTGTTACATATTTACTGCTCGACTATTTTTGCACTCCAGTAGAATCCCTGCTGGTAACTGCTTATGTCCTTTGTTATTATTGCTAATGTAATATTTTTTATTATTAATATAAAAAAATCTAATTCAAATTATTTCTCTCTTCTACTTACAGATAATAAGCAGAGTCGGTGCGCAGCTGCCGCAGAGCCAATATGTTCTGACTGCCGCATTGACATTTTTTGGTAATAAAATTCGAACAAATAATTTAAATAAAAATTCGCTGCAGCACACATCACTGACAATTACATAATAATATAGTAAAAATAAAAATTAAATCAAAATCCTAAAGAAAAAAAAAAACAAAATAAAACTGTTTTTACATAAGTAAGAGAAGGCGTGCCATTGTCATGGCGGCACGCAGTTTGGTCCAAAGTAGTGGGCAGCCACAACGGTTACCAACCAACCGAAAACAAATGTTTACAACCACCAATAATGAAAATAATAATAATAAACATCAAAAGTCGTCCTTGCTATCCTTATCAAAAACAGTTGAAACAACATCGTGCTCGTCGGACTCGGAGTCCTTAGTGTCGTTATTAAATACGTGTCGGTCGTACCGCAGATCAAGTTCTGCAATCGCGTCGTTTCGACAACTTGTCGCAATCGCTACATTCGCGTTAGTCTTAGTCGGTCAATTTCAGTGTGCTTTGTCATACGAGAAGGCACACAATGCCATGCCCACAGAAAGTTTGTCTGCTGCCAATGCAGCACGCATGCTAGCTGGTGGTGATAATGATGATACCAACGATATGTCATTAGTATTGCCGCATGATACTTATCCGGGGTTCAGCATCAAAAAGTTTGACACGATGCCAGTGCTTAATAATACGCGCGGCATAGTGCCTCAAGGTGCGTACCATATGCTACCGGGTGATTATTCGAAGTACTTCACCGTACTGGATGATGGTGTTGTTATGACCACATCTGACATATCACCACTAGTCAACCGCCCGGTCAATTTGGTTGTTGTTGAAGAAACACCGAACTCCACAAATACGCATAATTTGCAACTATACGTTATGCATCGCAATGATATGCTTCGTTTTCCTGGCACCATGTTGGATGCTAATGGAGAGGTGCGTGAAAATCGTCCAGCGGGTACTCGAGTGCGTGGTGTGCCACTTATGCAGGCATTCAGTGGTGATGTCGTAGAACCTGATGTGACGCCAAAGAAAGTGCGCTATACACTGATCGATGGCAATGATGATAAAGCATTTGCACTACAAAGTCGAAAGACTAAAGAAGGTGACGTAACTGGAAAATCTGTTGTTGTCGATAGCAATGATGATTCCGGTGTTTGGTTGGTTACTAACCGCCCATTAGATCGTGAATTGAAAGCGCACTATGATCTATCGGTCCAAGCTTCCGATATGGATGAATTAGACAAGACAATGTCTAAAATTGAAGTGCTCGTTTTGGATGTTAATGACAATCGTCCAGTTTTTAAAGAGTATGATTATAAATTTGCTTTAACGGGTGAGAAAACTCCAAATATGGAAGAGAAGGATCCGGGTGTTACATGGAAACGTTTCACTATAATGGGAAAAGTAGAAGCTACTGATGCTGATGGTGATAAGGTTGCTTATCGCTTGAAAACGCCCAACAATATTGTTATTATCGTACCACAAACAGGTGAAATTATGTTGGCTGGTGAACCACTGGCCAGTGAACTTATGGTTGAAGTCGAAGCACATGACTTACGCTATCCTAGCATGGTAAGCGAAAAACCTGCTAAGGTGATGTTAGAATTTTTAGAACCAGAACCTGTTGCATTTATAATGCAACATCTCGAACATGATCGGATCAATCCTCATTCGCATCATCGTGAGAAACGTCGTGTTACTCGTGCCGTGCGTCCTACAAAACGTATTGAATTTACTGAAGCTGATGGTGATACTGAAGGAAAATCAGTATTTCAGCTTGAAAAGGAAACTGATAAGGAAACATTTAAGATACGCGATGATAATCCTTGGGTTACGGTTGAAACAAATGGTGCGGTGCGTGTTAAAAAGAAGTGGGATTACGAAGAACTTGGTCCTGAGAAAACGATTGACTTCTGGGTTATCATTACAAATACTGGACATAACGGTAAGTGATAATATTTATATATAAGTTTAAAAATTAAAATAGGAAATTTTGTGATAATTAGCTTAATAACCAAAACGCAATCAAAAAATAATATTAAAACAGTATGTCACATTACGCAACAAGAAAATAAGAGAGAGGTTTTTAGTAAAAACTGTGTTCGTTAATTGAAAAAATGGGTTGCAATTGCAAACCGTAGTATTAAGATGTCACCTTTTGGTATTAAAGAAAGCGTAATATTGAACACGTTTTCTATAGGAATTTATACGAATTTTAAAAGAATTAAAAAAAATATAATTTATTTTTTACTTTTAAGACATTTTAAGATATATAGGAATATTTTCGGTAATTGTAAAGCAGATGAGCTAGCCAGACCGGGTGCTTCAGGGAACCACTTGGAACACCTCAACAATCGGGTATGTCATTGACATCATGCAAACTGTCACTGTGTTTTTCCTGTGATGAACTTTTGAATAAAAGATGGATAAGTTCGCTGTTGCTCAGTTTAGAGCATGCATAGAGAATAGTTCCACACCATTTCAATTTTAATTTCTCAAGAGCCACAGATACTCATCTCGAAAAGATAAATTTAATTAAGATAATACCCCGTTACCTTGCCAAAAACCTGGTGAATTTGAATATTCTCACTGCTTAGCGTAAGGAGTCTATAAGAGACTGTCTAAGTTGGGTTGCTTAATATCAAAGCCTATTTTCAGTTTTTATAGTTCATCCAAAAGTTTGGTGTTTGGGAGTCTTATCTTTGCGTCTGTACACTATGTGCTCTTATAGCAATATGAAAAGCATGTATAAATTGAGAATGTATTTTTCATAAATTATTTAAAATAAACATTCAAATTTTATATTTTGCCAAATTTTACTTGCCTTATTCTGGTGTTTATATCATATTATACCCAAATCATTTCTGCTAGTCATTGCATTTGCTGCAGTGGTCTTAGATACCACAGATATTTGTCTCGTTTATACTATGTTAGACCCTTTTGTCTCTCGTTAGCCATTGTGCTTGCAGGTTTTAGAACTACTCTAGTACTACTGATTAATATAGCGTTCGTACCATGTTACACCCTCTCTCTTTCGTTAGTCACTGTACTTGCTTAAATGCTCTTAGTACTGTTTATTATGGCGTTCGTACCATGTTATACTCCCTTTTCTCTCTTTAGCAATTGTATTAGTTTCAATGGTGTTAGATATTATTGATTATTATTATAACATCCAAACTACGTTACACTCTCTCTCTCTCTTTCTCTCTCTCTCTCTCTCTCTCTCGTTAGCCATTGTATACGATGTTGAATAAACGGTTGCCTCTTGAAAATTTTTTTCTGTACCAAAATTGGTTTAAAAAGGTCCCATTTCTGTAAAAAATTTTTATTTTTTCGATCTGTGTTTTTCATAGTGTTATAAATGAACAAAATATAAAATAGTGCAAAGTTGCATTTATAAAAAAAATTAATTGGAAATATCCACAATAAAGTTGGGTCGTCAAAAGTGTACCATCTTTTGAACATGAGTACCAAACGAAAAAAAAAGTACCAATTTTGGTACTAAAGTACCATAAGTGGCAACCGTGGTTGAATAACATGATTACTCTGACATACGAACCTTGTTAGACCCTTTTTTCCGTCGCTAGCCAGTATACTGTCAGTATATTGTCTTGGTTCTAAATATCATTGATTATTATGTCGTCTGAACCATGTTAGATCGTCATTCCCCTCGCTAGTTACTAAGCTTGCTTCAGTAATCATAGATACCATTGCTTATTGCGATGACCGTGTTATGTTAGAGAAGAGAGGATCTTTTGCCACTAGTCATTATACTTGTTTTTGTGAAAAATACTTTAAAATTTTCAAGCTCTTGAAATTGAAGAAAAAAACGCATGTAGCAATGTGCTGCTATTATGCTTTGGTAACTAATCCCTATTTTTCCGTCTATTAAAAATTTTAGTATTCTGAAATTATACTCCGAAACGAGATTAAACTTTTATTTTCTTTAAAATATATTTTATATTATACTTTATTTTACTTTAAAATATATTTTTTATGATTTTAAGGAAATATTAGCATTAACACATTCTCAACTTCATCTGAAAGAATCTCATTAAGAGAACTACTCTTGTGCGAACAGCACATAAAATTTTATTAAAGCGCTTGTGTGCCTTTAAATGCGTTTAAATGCGTTTAAATGTGCGCCAAAAGAGTTTAAAGGCAACTTCCAGCACATTTCGCAGATACTATTTTGAACTTCAATTTTTATTGTTTTTTTACTTTTTTGCTTTTATTTTTCGAGTTTGTTTTTCGAGTTATTTGTTGATATTTCGCCTTAAATTCTTATTCCTACACACAGCCCACAATGTGCAGTACAGATGAAGCAGTGCCGAAGTCAAAAATAAATCATTTATGAAAAATAAAATGGCGAAAAGCAAAAAAGTATCTCAACTGCTGCTCCACTGCGTGAGCTACAAAAATATGTTTTTTTTTTTTAAAAAAAAATGCACAATAAAAAGCGCTACAATTTCCGGTGTTTATCTTTAGCTTATTTACGCGTATTATTTGATTATGCAGCAAAATTAAAAAAAAAAGCGAATAATAATGCAAATAATTGATTTTAGCATTTTAAATGCGGCGAAAATAAATTTAAGCGTTGCATTGAACAATAAAAAATTTCGCCAATGCAATTAAAATCGTGTGCGGTGGAAACTCATTTTCACATTTTTAATTTTTATTATGAAAAACATACACACATACACACACACACATACACACATGTATCTGGAAAATTTTTTGCCATCATTATTCATTTGTAATTAATAAAAAAAATATATATATTTATTTTTTCTTTTATATTTTATATTTGTAATTGATGTTATTGTTGTTATTGTTGTTGTTGTTGTTGTTTACTTAATTGCAAACGATAAAAAGTGAATAATGCAAATATGTTGGATTCTTTTTAATCTTATTAAAATTTTATAATTTAAAATTAAAACATAAATGATTTTTGCAGCGAATGCTAGAAGTAGCCGAAAATAAAAATTAAACCAACTGCAAAATTATGAAATAAATCTTCAAAAAAAAAAAAAAAAATTGTATAAAAAAATCGAAATTAATTGCTGCATTGTTCGCATTTGGCTGCAATTCGATAGGGTTTGCTTTTATATTTCATAGATAAATTTTTAATTCCGTCAATGAATTCTCAGTTTGGTAGTAAGCTTTTAGTCAGGTAATATAATATTTATTGAAATGTGAAATGTAAGCAAAATTTCACGAATATGAATCGTATCTCTTTTCACGCCAGAAGTGAGACAATCGATTTCACATATAATCTTTCATTTTTTTTTGCACAAATGTTTGCTTAGGCTCAGAATAGATGGTATAAAATAATCTGAGTTAGAGTTACCGGAGAGCGGAGAGCACACTACTACGACCAATAAAAAGAAAAAAATTTCTTAAATTGTAAGTTTTAAATTGTATAAATTTAATTTTAATTAAAAAAAATAAATTAAGTTTATAACAATTTAAGTTGTACTATATATATACGGAAAAGTATCTATGTACATTGAAATGATAGATGAAGAAAATAGAAATTCAGAAAATTGCTTAATAATAGCAACTAAAACAATAAAAATGAGGTTGAGTAAGTTGTAACTGGTTATACCCAGTAGAAAACGGATCGATCCGTCATCGAAGACGTCTTCAAGACATGGATACATACATGAAGACCGATCGATCCAAATGTATGACGGTCTTCGAAGACACTTTCATTCAAATTAGCCAAATGTCTTCAATGAATTTTTGTGTACATGTCTAGAAAGAAATTGTTGTATTTTGTACTTTTATTTATTTTATATAAAAATTTCTTACATTACATTCAAAATTAAAAGTTTTAAAAGCAAATTATAAATTTTATTATAAATTTTATTAAGATATTAAAAATAAACTAGTAAAAACTAGTAAACATTATGAAAATTAATTTAAATAATTAACTTAATATAACTTAGCATATCTAAAATTAACTAAAACTAATATAAAATAATTTATAACATTTCGCTATCATCTATTGTTGAAGTTTTATATGTTTTCAAAAGCGTTGAAGAGGATTTTGGTACAATTAAACCTTCTGATCTTAAGAGTTCTAAAATATCATTACCACAACGCCTGTTAATCCTGTGTTTTTTAAATATAACAGCTAATTTTTCACAAGTGTGAACTTTCACTGGAATTATTGTCTTCAATATTAATATCAATATATTTTCCAGGAACTAAGTCACTATTTAATTTGTTTTGATTTAATTTCTTTTTTTAATATTTCGTAGTTTAATGATTTTGTTTCTTTATTTATTTTGATTTTTTTAATATTTATTTCACTACACTTCAAAATTATTGCGTCACTTCATTTATAAAACATAGCGTCATCTGAGGCAAAATTCAAATATGTTGCTATGAACACTAAAAATGAGAGAGAAAGCAAATAAAGAGTATTTACATTCATGTTTTGAGCAATTGTTTTGCAAATTTGCTTGAAAATGCGGACGCGGTATCAAAGACCGTCTTGAAGACAATGTCTTCGAAGACCACTTTTTCTACTGGGTAGTATGAATATGTATATGTATTAGTTCCTAACCAAACTCGATTGAGTTAAGCCTATTGTAGTCTTATAGTGAGCATCATTTAGAATAAAAATATTGTTAAAATATCTAAGGAGCATTTGAAGCTCAATTTCTGCACTGTCTTCTAACTTTCCAAATAATTTGATTTGATTTGAGTCGAATGAACAAGTCATTACCGAAACAAACGCGTATTTTGAGAGCTTTGAGAAAACCTATATAATTTGAAGGGAATAACAATATTAGAAAAACGCTAGACTAAATGTATCGAGCTAAAAGGTGATTATGTAGAAAATTAAAATGTTTATTTGCCGAAAAAATATGGTTTTATTCAAACCGCCCTAGTATAATGTAATTTAAAACTGCAATAATGTGTTGCTAATAAGATAAGACTTA